TTAATTCTCTTTTGATATCAAAGCAATAGCGACAGGTCTTGCTAGGAGCGGGGATAGCATTGGTGTCCCCTGGATATCAATTAACAAATCTGTGAATAAACTTAATCTATAAATCAATGAACTGAAATTTAGTCCAACGTCGAAAGGAAAATTGTACTTACCTGTCTGTTCCCCCGCGCGTCTATCTACCGTCGTCTACCTGTCTCTAACGGCGCTCTGTCCCCGAGTTGAAACCCTCCCTTTCCTTACCTGTGTTTGGCCACTGTGTCCGTGGCGTGGCGCAGCTCCCAGCCCTCCTCGATCCTGTAGGGAAGCACTCGGGGCTCCTGGGGGATCTTGGCCTTCTTCTCGCCCCCGCCGCTCCCCTTGTCGCCGCCCTCGTCCCCGGCGGGCGGCGAGGGCTCCGCGCTGTCGTCGTCCTCCGAGGAGACCCGGATCTTGGGTCGGCACCCCCCGTGGGCGAGCCTGGGCGGCGGCGGGTCCTCGTCCGTGGTGTCGCTGACGGAGGACGAGCTCTCCGACCTGCTGGTGGTGGGGCTCAGGGAGGGGCTGGAGGCGCTCGGGGACATGCTGGGGCTGCTGGAGGGGAGCGGGGAGCAGGACGCCCTCGAGGACAGCTTGGCGGGGGAGCACGAGGTCCTCGGCGACGACGAGGAGGACGAGTTGGGGATGTTGAAGGAGTTGGTCCTGGCCTTCGGGTGCGGCGCGTGGGGGATCGAGCGGTGGGAGAAGGAGTTGGTCCTCGGCACGGGCAGGAGGGGGTGCTGGTGCGGGGACTCCTGCACCCTGGGGGAGGGGGGGCTCGACCTGCGAGAACCCGTGGGGCTCGGGGACGGCTTGCGGCTGCCCCGGGGGGAATGGGAGGTGACAAACGATGAGAATGGCGACAGCGTCGCGGCGAGCGACGAGGCGATGGCAGACGTTATCTGGTGGCCGTCGCCCTTTTTCTCCTTGTCTTTGCCTTTACTCTTCTCCTTCTCTTTCTCCTTTTCCTTCTCCTTATCGCTGTCTTCATCTTTCTTCTCCTTGAAACTCTCGGTTTTGCGACGAAACGTGAAGTTCCTATCCTTACTAAAGCTAACTTGAGATCGCAGCGGTTTCATCTTGCTCGGAGGCGCCCCAGCGGGCTCGCGGGAGAGGGGTTCCTCGTGGCCGCACACCAGCTCATGGTGCCATGCCCTCGCCTCATGCCCCCAGGCCACGTCTCACACCTCGGGCACGCTCGGCACTGGCAGCGCTCGGCTTTTCGGTGCCATTCCTACTCTCCGATATAGTTCCGATCACTTCACTCCTATGGGTCTCTCTGCTCGGCGAATGGAGCCACTTTTAGTTACCATTTTCTACTGATTTTGCGCATTGCAAGTATGTATGCTGCGGGTTCAAGGGGAAACAAATCCAGTCACCTTTAGAATAATTTTCTAAACACGAATTATCTTTATAATCAAGAATTTAAACTGGTTTTCATATTTCCTAAAGACGAGATCATATTAGAGACATTTTGCCAACTCCTTGTTGTTAAAGTAAACACATTACATATAACTTTACGCTGGACGACAAACGTGCATTCCTGAGATAGATACTCTCTCTCTCTCTCTCTGTTTGTCTCTCTTTCCTCTCTCTCTCTCTCTCTCTCTCTCTCTCTCTCTCTTTCTCTGTTTGCCTCTCTTTCTCTCTCTCTCTTTCTCTTTTCGTCTCTTTTTGTCTCTTTCTCTTCCCTTCTTTTCCTCTTTCTCTTTCCCTCTCTCTCTCTCTCTCTCCCCTCCCTCCCCCCCCTCCCCCTCCCCCCTCCCCCCTCCCTCCCTCTCTCCCTTCCTCCCTCCCACCCTCCCTCTCTCAGACCTTATTCCCAAGAAGCGACAGACAAGACCACGTTAAAGGAGACAAGACAAGAACAAGGAGACATTCCGCCGTCTCATCAGCATGCAGCCTCTTTCCCGATTCCGAACAACACTTCACTTGTTGCAGCTCGAGTCCGACAACGAGTGCCAGTCCTGCGAACAACATCGAGAGGCGTTTACATCAGTACAGTCGTCTTTCATCGCTCTATACCCCCCCTCCCCCCCTCCCCACCCGGCGGCACTGGCACTATCCACCCGTAACCCCCCCACCCCCACCCCGCTACATCCGGACGGCGATAGACTATCCGAAAAAACGGACTGAAACAAACCCCCCTCCTCAAAAAAAAAAAAAAATAATAATAATAATAATAAAAAATAAATAAATTAAATAAATAAATAAATAAATAAAATAAAAATAAACGAAGCGGCGAATCGGATGATAGCGAGACCCGCTCCGCCCCGGGAACCGATATCCGCTCCCCGCATCTCTGTATCCGAATGACAGAACCGCGGGCGAAGCATTACAGGAAAGTACTAGCGTCTGTGGCACTGTAGGGTGTGTGAGTGGGCACGCCGGGGGGGCACTCTGGCACTCTCACAAGTCTCACCCACTTGTTCCCTTCGTCGCTGTTCGTGGCTCTCAACGTGGCACTCACTTCTAA